GCACATGTAAACGCTCACACACCCAGACATGTCAATGCCACTCATCCAACGGAGCGGCGTGAACTCCTGAAGACGCGCACGCAGAGGATTGTGGTGGCGTCGCCCTCGCCAACGTGCATGTGACGCTCAAGTCGTGATGGTTCGGCTGCAAGAACGAGGCGGCGGCGTACTGCAGCTCGTGTGGCAGCTGATCCGCGCTGCAGATGGAGGAGATCTGCGTCTTCGAGCCCAACGCCACCGTGCGGCACACGGCTCGCTTTGACCGGAGCGGGGGCGTCCACGATGAAGCCGTTGACCGCGGGGAGGCGGTGTCGAGGTGCAGTGCCCGGCTGTTTGGGTGGCGATGCGCCGGCGCAGTCAGCTTGTGCGCCGCAGCAGATGCGTGGGAGAGGCGCCCTGCCCTGCGCTTCGGGTTCTGCTGCTTCTTCTTTTTGGGCGATGGCGAGCAGGTGTGTGGGGCGGGAGTCCCTTGCTTTGCCAGCGCCCCAACACGCAATGCGGTGCCACACCCAAACAACGGCTTCCTTCGTTGCAGGGCCGTCGCAGGGTTGTTGCGGATGAACGCAAGTGGCGATGAGAACGCTGTGCGTGGGTGTGTGCCTGGGCTATTGCTGCTGGCGCTTCTGCGGCTGTGTGGACGGCGGCCTTCCCTGCTGGGCCAAAGAGAGTGGAATTGCAGCTCCCCAAATAATAGGTGTTGTCCGGCGCCACTCATTGCGTGTTTTTGAGGGCGCATTGTTTTCTTACTTTTCTAATGGCCCATCGTTATTTTTACTTGTCGCCGGTACTTTGCTGGGAGGGTCGGTGCCTCGGTTCTTCCTTCTTTTGTTTCCGTTCTGCTCCAGTGGCCGCCTGCTGTGCACTGCCATGCGTGGCGGGTGCCGTCTTGCCTGCTGCTTCCCACACGGCGGCGCCGCCGTATTGTTGTGTGCCTCACGGATTTGACGCAATTGCTCGGTTGCGGAGCAGTCGGAGTGCCGCACGGGACGTTGGGAATGCAGATGCGTGGACCCAACAAACTGGGCGATGTATTTAATTTTGTGTTGGTGTCTTCTTTTTGTTTTTAGTTGTTGCGCGGGGAGTAAATATCCCCCGCCCATCTTTTTTTTATTTTTTGGTTTTGAGGCCTGGGCGATGATCACCGCCGCTGTGGGTGCCACCGTCTGGGACCTCGCAGTGTTCTTCACCTTTTCTTCTGTCTGTGCGCAGAGACGCCACCGTTTTGCTTTTGGTTCCCACTGCTTCTCTTACCTCTCCACACACACGCACACACATGCAGAAGGAGGAAAGGGAAGTCGACCAGACGCTACTCGCTGCTGTGCGCTTTGAGGGCCCTGCTGTCACAACCATCACCACACACACATCGCCCACACAACATGCCCCGGCATCTGTTTTTTTCTTGTGCGGTGCTGATCTGCGTGCTGTCGATCTGCTGTAGCAGTACAGCAGTGGCCACTTCGGAGAGTAATTCAAATGTTGTCACTGATCCATTTAACGGAACAACGGAGGTGGCTGGTGGTAATTGGAAATACGCCAGTGATGCATCGGTCACCTCGCTGCGTGTCCCCAGCCTTGTGGAGGTGAACGGTGATGTGTTTGCCGTTGCTGAGGCTCAGTGCAAGAATGGGAACGGCAGCGAAGAAGCTGTCAGCGTTGCTGGAATTGCGTCGACGCACCTGAAGGATATTTCTGATGTCGAAAAGGAGATCTTGACGGCGGAGGCAAATCTCTTTTGCATGCAATTCGAAGAGGCAAGTGATGCGGCTGGGAAGGCAACGGAGGTGATGCAGCCAACCACAATTGTCAGCGGCAGCGATGTCTACATGCTGCTGGGAAAATACAGCCGTACAGAGTCTGAACCTGAAGTTTCCGGTGATGGTGGCTGGAGGCTGTTGCTGGTGAAGGGAACAGTCACTGGAGACAGTGAGGAAAAGAAAATTGAGTGGGGTAAGACCCATGCAGTGAAGCCTGATTTCTTGCCAGCGCGTAAGTCATTGACTCGGTTGGTTGGCGGCGGAGGGTCGGGTATTGTGCTGAGTGACGGTACGCTTGTGTTTCCCATGCAGGCCATAGATAAGGATGAATGGGATGGAAAGAAAAAGAATTTTTTTTTGTCTATGCGCTTCACCCAGGCAGAGAACAAATGGGAGCTTTCGCGGCAGATGGCGGATGTTGGGGGCTACAAGGATCCATCGATTGTGGAGTGGGGAGAAGATCAAAAACTTCTTCTGATGGCTCCCTGCAAGGATGGCTACTACGACGTGTACGAGTCCCCTGGGCTGGAACAAGTTGGTACAGCGAGCGTGAGCCAATTTCCCGTGTGTGGGGCAACTCACATGATCGAAAAGGGGAGGGCGTTCGGAGCGGCTTCATCACTGCAACCATCGAGGAGAAGAGGTTGATGCTGCTCACCACGCCGGTGTATTCGAAGGAGAAAGGAAAGGACCAGCTGCATCTTTGGGTGACAGACAATGCCCGTGTGCACGACGTTGGGCCGGTGTCTCGTGAAGGTGATGACGCCGCCGCCAGCTCCCTGCTGTACAGAAAAAAAGAGAAGGAGGAGCTGATTGTACTGTACGAAAATAAGAAGAATGATTTGGATGACTCATTCAGCCTTGCCGCTGTGCGCCTGACTGACAAGCTGCTTCGGATAAAAGAAGTGGTGAAAACATGGAAAGATATGGACGCCGCACTAAAAAGCTGCACTTCCAGTGACACCGTCGACCCGCGAGCGAAGGGTATGTGTGAAGGCCCTATTCCCATCAAAGGGCTGGTTGGCTTGTTGTCCAACGCATTAACGGATGGAACTGAGACTGGCAAAGTGTGGAGGGACGAGTACCTCGGCGTGAATGCAACGGTGAAGAATGGGGCAGCAGGCGAAAAGTGGGGCGTGAGGTTCGAAGGCGCTGGGGCGGGGGCGGAGTGGCCGGTTGGCAGCAATGGGCAGAACCAGCCGTACTACTTTGCGAACAACAAGTTTGCTCTTGTGACGACGGTGGTGATTAACGCGGTGCCGGAAGACGGCGACAACCCCATTTTTTTGCTGGGTGCGAGGATGAACGACAAGGCTGGTACTGTGCTCTTTGGCCTGTCGTACACGAGGGAAAAGAAGTGGAGGTTCCAGCTGGGCCGCAGAGTCATCAATGGGTGCGGGGATGTTAATTGGGAACCGAACAAAGTCTCGCAGGTGGTGGTGGAAATGAGAATAAACGACTGGTACGTGCACGTCGATGGAAAGGAGATTTGCAGCACGACTTACGGAGGCCCGTTGTTCAACTCGTACCGAATCTCGCACTTCTTATTGGGTGGGGGCAACGGCACGGCGGGGTCATCGGCCAGTCACGACGTGACGGTGGCAAGTGTCCTGCTGTACAACAAATTACTTGACTCTGAGGAGATCAAGGAGCTTAATGCCAACAAAGTCACTTTTCCCAAGCCGGCTGGTGAGGAACCAAACAGTGACGAGGAGGGTTCTTCTGGACCCGCGGATGATCCGGAGAAGATGGGTTCTAAGCCGCAGTCTAACGACGAACTCGATCGGGAGGGACATTCGAACACCGACCAGGACGCCGCCGGCACGAATGATGATGGGGATGCCGCTTCTCACGCACCGGACAATTTGCCATCAGTTCCTACCGCCCAGCCCCCAACACCTGAGGGACAACAACCAGAAGACGATGCCAGCGACAAATCTGCGGGGGAAGATGAAGGACCACGACGATCAGAGGGAGATGGCGAGGTTGATGGCGATAGAGCCATGGATGCTGCCGAAGCATCTTCTGAAGACGAAGTCCCTGAGGGAGTCGTTGAAGAGGAGGAGGAAAAGGAAGGGCTGCCTGCTGGTGCTGAATTGGGGTCTCCGGTGCCTTCATCGTCGAAGGTGAGCGCAGATGCTGATGGACCCGACGATGCCGATGTGGATGCCATTGAAAAACTCCCTTCACAGCACGAGGTCGATGAGAACCAAGCGCAGCAAAGCAGCCCGCCTGCAATTGAAGACGAAGACGTGCCGTCCAATGAAACCAAAGCCGGCAGTGAGGAGCGTGTACTCGGCCTCGAAGCGGAGGGCGCTGGCCCCGGAGCGGCGGTGGGTTCAGGTGGCAGCCCTGCTTCACGCAGTGACCCCGAGGAGGCTCCCGCGAAGGAGACCCCTGAGACTTCTCTGCCTGGCGCCGTTGGAGTGCATGTTGAAGACAATGAGGAAATGTTGCAGGGAGCCGACAACGAGCCGGCTAATCAAACCGCTTCGTCTGAGCCTCAGGCGGCCCCTCCGACACGCAACACGACACCACTCGCTGGCAACACCCTCGCTGCCTTCAAGAAGATTACAGGCGTGAGGTTCGATGAAGGGAACAGCGACAACGCCGTGGGTGGGTGTGTGCCTCATGTAGTGCTGTTGGCCCTGCTGGGGCTGTGGGGCATTGCGGTTCTCTCCGCTGCGTAAAAGGGAGAGTGCAGTTGCGACTCCGCTTGCAAAGTGCGTGCTGCAGTACCGACAGCGACTCGCTTCATTTACACATCTTTTTTGTTTGTTTTTGTTTTTATTGCTGCCGGTGCCTTGCTGGGATCATCGGCACCCTTCTTTTTTTTTTATTTGCTTTTTGCTCCAATGGCCGTTTGGCGTACGCGATGTGTCATGGGTGGCGGCTGCATTGCTGTGCGCCCCACTGACAACGCAGCCGACGCGTTGAAGCGCTGGCCGCATGCCGAACGAAGTGTGGGAGGGATGTGCGGGCTCGTGGAACACGACGATACTTTTTTTTTCCTTTTGCTTTCAGCGCAGGCAATACACAGACACCGTCCTCTTGGGCTTCTGGAGACGTGAGGTAAAAACACCTGCCGCAGCAATTTCTTTTTCCATTTTTTTGTTGATTGCTGATATTTTTACTGGGCGTCATTTTCTTTTTTTTGCTTGATAAATCACTGCGGCTCACTTTAGTTTGTGCCGTGTCCGCCACCGTCGCTGCGTGTCTCCATGTTTTGTTTGCTCCCGCTGCTGGCTGTGCTGCTGCCATGCCCCCATCCCTCTTCTTCTTCTTTCGGCTAGAGGCACCGGTAGTCCACGAGGAGGAGCCGTTTAGTTTTTCGCTGCGATGGCACGGGAGTGGCGGGGCGTGTGGCGGCTGCTTTGAAGGCGCCCGCTGCGGAGGGAGAGAATGGGCGGGGTGTGCGGCGTGTCATGTTGCGAGTGTGTGGGGCACCACCCATGGCAGCCTGCCGTGCGGCGTGATGCGGATCGGTGAGGGCAATGTGCGGCAGCGGCAGACTGTGCGGTGGACGT